TCTGTATTTCTGCAGAGTGTATCCAACTGCTGAAGGACTGCATCTGCACTTCCTGGCTATCTGGCGGCAGCTGTACCCTTCCTGGCTGAGAATCTTTATCTTCAGGCGTGTTTCCTGCGTTAGGTTCCTTGTTTTAGCCATTTTTGTGTCTGAAGAACTTTCAAATGTGCTGGCTTTATGTAGACACGAAGCTTGGCAACAAAAATTGTGTCTTTTAATAAAAAGAACGACCTTCATCACTGGTACCAAAATGACCCAATACTCAAAATTTCTTATGGATTTTTTTGGAACCAATCAATTTTAAGTTTTTAATGGCTTTTTTAGGATTTATTTAGTATTTTGGCTGTGACTGTACTAAAAGAAATTGCACTTGAAGACCTAAGAGTGATTCTTAGTGCAATATTTCACAAATGCATGGGGTGTCCGAAAACTTTTTTCCAAGTGGATGCAATTAACCAGTCAGAGGACTGGAGGGCTCAACATTACTGCATCTTGCTAACTCGGCCATTCTGGATGTCACTAACTCGGCTTCTTCTCCGGAGCATTTGTGCTCCACTGTCTCTCAGTTTAACTCATATCGCAGCGGTGCCTGGATAGTGTGACTTGTGCGGTTGTGCTGCTGCCGTGGTCCTGCCAGATGCCTCCTGCTGCTGCTGCCATCATTAGTCATACTTCTACTGTTATTATACACACATGATTATTGTCACACATGTATACTGCCAGATATTAATATATTATTATTAATTATAATATTATTACTTTCATTAATGTTGTTGTAAGCTACTGTCATTACCGTCTGTCCTGCATCTCTCTCTCTCTCTCTCTCTCTCTCTCTCTCTCTCTCTGTCTCTCTCTCTCTGTCTCATTGTGTCATACGGATTACTGTTAATTTATTATGTTGATCTGTTGTATACGACATCTATTGCACGTCTGTCCGTCCTGGAAGAGGGATCCCTCCTTAGTTGCTCTTCCTGAGGTTTCTACCATTTTTTTTCCCCCGTTAAAGGTTTTTTTTGGGGAGTTTTTCCTTATCCGCTGTGAGGGTCCAAAGGACAGAGGGATGTCGTATGCTGTAAAGCCCTGTGAAGCAAATTGTGATTTGTGATATTGGGCTTTATAAATAAAATTGAATTGAAGTGAACATTTCTGATGAGCATCACCTGTCAGAGAACAACAGCAATCATTAATAAACAGCCACATCACAGTGTCTTGACTTACATTAAATGAAAGCATTTTTTAAAAAAGAACATAGTGTCAAATGACAAAAAATAGAAATATACAAATAAGGGCATTTATGCCAATTTTCAAAGTTTTTATAAAAAACATTAATAGTTTAAAGTACAAAAATATTTTAGATTTTCTGAAGACTGTTAGCAATAGAACAAATAGCAAATATCCACATACTTACAAGCGGAAAAAAAATATATGTATCAAGGCTGAAGAAAGGAGAGAATTTTGTGGAAGTTTGTTAGTATAAAAGAAAATAGTGATAGCAATATTAGAAAAGCAGGTGGCGACAGCTTCAGAGAATGGAGAGGCAAGACACATCAGCACCTTCCTGACCTGCCTCGGAAATAAAGTGAGAGCAGATTAGTTCAATATGGCTGAACATAAATCAGCATAATTCAAAGTGAAAACGCAAACAATGGTTGTCATGGCACCGGCACCTATCATAACAGGCAGGATGATGAATGGTCTTTACAGGCGTCACAAGAACGTCAGAGGCGGCCATTCATAATAAAGACAAGGCGATGGGGAGTATTTGTACTGTGGGCTCAAAGGGCCAGAGAGCTGGTTGATGGTTCACTGGTTCGCCACGTCTCTGTTCAGCCAACTGTCAGGCTAATTCTGGCTTTGCCTTACAGCCTCACAGAGCCAACACCAGACAGAAAAATGCAAAGACCAATGTCAAGAGTGAGACCAAGACACAGTCAGTATCCCTCCGCTCAGGGAGTCATATTCTTTAAACAAAGGGCACACAGTCATACCTGGTTGCGATCCCGTGCATTGGCATAGCGGAACCTCTGGATGTAGTAGAAGACGAGCCAGGCGAGGGAGATGATCATGAGGACGATGAAGGAGATGGAGACAAACACTACTGACGTTCTGCTCACGTACTTCTGCAGGTTGCGGGTTCCTACGGTGATGTACAATGTAACCTTGATTTTCTGCTCCAGCAGGGCCACAATCTCACGACCTTTAGGCTCTGGGATCATGATGGCCACAATGTTTCCTGTACCTGCACAGGCACATACAACACAGGAGGTAGCAGTTTAAGAGTTTAGTAGATGAATTTCAACAATAACAGAAAGGTAATACATTTCTTTCAAAGCCCATTCACATAGCTGTGGTATTTGGCTGTAGCTTTTTACAATACGAATCTATTTGGCATCAAAAGTAGCCAAAATTTACAATATCCTTACCATACTGATGCCAAAATGCAGCCTTGGTTCCTTAATACATACAAGGATATGCAAATGCTGTTCACTTGAAGAAATCTAAATTTCTTTTTACACAATGAGTGCCAGACATCTAACATTCAACCCTGGCATACAAAGAGTTGTGCCTTGAAGCAGAGCAGGTGTGAACACTCAGTCTGAAGAGAGCTTAGACAGGACAGAACGACTAAAGCTTCACTATTTGTCAGAGGCTTCCTGCAAGCAACCTTCTGTTTCTTTGCTACTAGTGCACGACAAAGGCTTTTGCATTACAGAGTCACAGAGCTTCTTTCAACTTCCGCGCCTGAAAAATGTCCAGGAGGAACACTGTTTTTAACAGAATACAATTTGCATGGTAGAAAAAAATTCCCATCAGGGGGTCCTAGTATTAAACGGTGCTTCTCGGCTAATGCCTCTCAACTGTTCAGTGTCCTAACGTCACAGATAAGCTTTTCCTTCTGCCTCTAACAGCTAACAGACATCCTGCTCTTTACAGGAATGTTACTGCATGTGTTAAATCTAGAGTTTATAAAATGTTACAAACTTTTCACACAGTGACAAAATAATAAAAAGAATAAGAATACACTTTATTTATATAGCACTTTTCATGCAAGAAAAGTGCTTCATATGAAAATAGACATAATGGACATAAACCAGACAAGACATTTCAACATAAAAGGACATTTAAAACACTTTAAAACAGAGTCAGGGCTAGTTAAAGGCTAAAGTCAACAGAACCGTTGTTAACTTCCTTTTTAGAATATTTAGCTAGCTAGCTTCCCCAACATCTATAGGTAGTGTGTTCCATAGCTTTGGGGCGTAATTAACAAAGGCTTTTTGGCTGTTGCTGGTGAACCAGCAGCAGAGGATCGCAGTGTTCTTGAAGGCAAATAGTTAACAAGGGAGTTAGTGATGTAGCTCGGTCCCAGCCCATGTAGGGCTTTGTGTATAAGGAGGAGGAGCTTAAAATCAATTCTAAATGTAACAGGAAGTCAGTGCAAAGCAGCTAAGACTGGCCTGATATATATATAGCCAAGCTGCAGAGTTTTGAATGAGCTGAAGTCTCTCAGTGGTGTTTTTTGGGAGGCCAGTAAAAAGTGTATTACAGCGGTCGAGGCGGCTTGAAATAAAGGCGTCAATCAATTTTCTTAATGGACTTTTCCTCAGCATCCTGGTTTACAGAAACCCTCTCACAACCATAGCAAGGCCTGCATAAACTCAAGAGACATCAGAGAAGAACTGGTGACCAACCACTGGGTCACTTCAAAGATGGACCTTCACTCAACTGATGAGCCCTCAATAACCCCCACATCACCCGATGTGGCTGGAGAGCTTATGACATGTCACAAACTCTGGAAATGAACATAGAGACAGACTCAGCCACATGGAAGAAGATTCAAGCTGAGATGCCACTCTGACACCATGACCCCTATGGTGCAGACGTCTGTGTGTATGTTAATGTGATAAAACCCACCTTTCCCTGCAGTTGTCTTTTCCTAAGGAGGACAGACAGAAATGCGGATTCCAGGAACCAAGATGTGTTGATTGTATGCTGATGTTTCACCTTTCTTGCTATTTCAGTGCATATACATACACACACACACATATA